TATCAGTATATTGATACATGTTTCTGTGTGATAGTTTCCATGGTAACCAGTTATCTTTTATTATTGTTTTAAGTAATTCCCTTCCTGAGTGAGGATTACACATATCTCTGCCCATAATAACTCACAATGCCTTTGATATGGTCTGGTTGTATCCCCACCCAAATCTCATCTTGAATTATACTCTCATAATTCCCATGTGTTGTGGGAGGGACCCAGTGGGAGATAATTTAAATCATGGGGGCAGTTTCCCTCATACTGTTCTCGTGGTAGTGAATAAGTCTCATGAGATCTAATGGTTTTATCAGGGGTTTCTACTTCTGCATCTTCCTCATTTTCTCTGAGGCCTCCCCGCCGTGACTCTGAGGCCTCCCCAGCCGTGTATAACTGTAAGTCCAATTAAACCTCTTTTTCTTCCCAGTCTCAGGCATGTCTTTATCAGCAGCAGGAAAAAGGACTAATACAGTAAACTGGTACCAGTAGAGTGGGGCGTTGCTGAAAAGATACCTGAAAATGTGGAAACAACTTTGGAACTGAGTAACAGTCAGTGGTTGAAACAGTTTGGAGGCTCAGAAGAAGACAGGAAAATGTGGGAAAGTTTGGAACTTCCTAGAGACTTGTTGAATGGCTTTGACCAAAAACCTGAAGCAATATGGACAATAAGGTCCAGGCTGAGGTGGTCTCAGATGGAGATGAGGAATTTGTTGGGAACTGGAGTAAAGGTGACTCTTGTTATGTTTTAGCAAAGAGACTGGTGGCATTTTGCCCCTGCCCTAGAGATTTGAGGAACTTTGAACTTGAGAGAGATGATTTAGGGTATCTGGAGGAAGAAATTTCTTTTTTTTTTTTTTTTTTCTGAGATGGAGTCTTGCTCTGTCACCCAGGCTGGAGTGCAGTGGGGTGATCTTGGCTCACTGCAACTTCTGCCTCCTGGGTTTAAGCAATTCTCCCACCTCAGCCTCCAGAGTAGCTGGAGGCGTGCACCACCACACCCAGCTACTTTTTGTACTTTTAGTAGAGATGGGGTTTCACCATGTTGGCCAGGCTGGTCTCGAGCTCCTGACATCAGGTGATCCTCCTGCCTCGGCCTCCCAAAGTGCTGGAATTACAGGCATGAGCCACCGCACTGGTGGAGGAAGAAATCTCTAAGCAGCAAAGCATTCAAGAGGTGACTTGAGTGCTGTTAAAGGCATTCAATTTTATAAGGGAAGCAGAGCATAAACATTTGGAAAATTTGCAGCCTGACAATGTGATAGAAAAGAAAAACCCATTTTCTGAGGAGAAATTCAAGCTGGCTGCTGAAATTTGCACAAGTAAGGAGGAGCCGAATGTTAAACCCCAAGACAATGGAGAAAATGTCTCCGGGGCACATTGGAGGTCTTCACAGCACCCCTTCCCATCACAGGCCTAGAGGCCTAGGAGAAAATGGTTTCGTTGGCCAGGCCCAGGGTCCCTGTGCTGTGTGCAGCCTAGGGACTTGGTGCCCTGTGTCCCAGCTGCTCCAGCCGTGGCTGAAAGGAGCCCACATAGAGTTCGGGCCGTGGCTTCAGAGGGTGCAAGCCCCAAGCCTTGGCAGCTTCCACGTGGTGTTGAGCCTGTGAGTCAAGAATTAGGGTTTGGGAGTCTCCACGTAGATTTCAGAAAATGTATGGAAACACCTGGATGCCCAGGCAGAAGTTTGCTGCAGGGGTGATGCCCTCATGGAGAACCTCTGCTAGGGCAGTGCAGAAGGGAAATGTGGGGTCAGAGTCCCTACTGGGGCACCAACTAGTGGAGCCTTGAGAAGAGGGCCACCGTCCTCCAGACCCCAGAATAGTGGATCAACCAACAGCTTGCACTGTGCACCTGGAAAAGCCACAGACACGCAACACCAGCCTGTGAAAGCAGCTGGAGGGAGGGAGGCTGTACCCTGCAAAGTCACAGGGGTGTAGCTGCCCAAGACCATGGGAACCCACCTCTTGCATCAACATGACTTGGATGTGAGACCTGGAGTCAAAGGAGATCATTCTGGAACTTTAAAATTTGACTGCCCTGCTAGATTTCGGACTTGCAAGGGCCCTGTAACCCCTTTGTTTTGGCCAATTTCTCCCATTTGGAATGGCTGTATTTACCCAATACCTGTACATCCATTGTATCTAGAAAGTAAGAGCTTGCTTTTGATTTTACAGGCTCATAGGTGAAAGGGACTTGCCTTGTCTCAGATGAGACTTTGGACTGTGGACTTTTAAGTTAATGCTGAAATGAGTTAAGACTTTGAGGGACTGTTGGAGAGGTATGATTGGCTTTGAAATGTGTGAACATGAGATTTGGAGGGGCCAAGGGTGGAATGATATGGTTTGGCTGTGTCCCCACCCAAATCTCATCTTGGATTGTACTCCCATGATTCCCACGTGTTGTGGGAGGGACCCACTGGGAGATAATTTGAATCATGGGTGTGGGGGGTCTTTAACAGCAGCATGAAAATGGACTAATATAGCCTTCTGTGGAAAAAGCACACATTCCTGCTCCATTGATGTTGGTCTTAGACATGTGGCTTGTTTTGGCCAATGGCAGGTGAGCGGATGTGACTTATATTATGTTGAAATAAAAGTGTTGATCATTCTTGTGTGTTTTTACTAACTCTCTCCTCTTTTTCCTGTGCCCTGAGAATGGCACATCTCGGCTATTGAAGAAGACACATGGAGCGGGAGAAGAACTACCATCAACCCCATGGCTAATGAGCAACATGAATGAGATATAATCCTTCATTGTTTTAAACCATGGTGATTTGGGGGTTGTTACTGCAGCCTTCCTAGTAAATGCTGACGAGGACACCTGGCATGCTCACTGTTGACAGTCAAATTTTGACTGCAGTTATCATTTGGGTCAATCTGACTGACCTAGCTATCTTTTATAATGATCCAACGCAATTCTTTAACTCAATACTTTTTATAAATATGGCAAAAAAAGATTAATTAGAATAACTGAGACCTCAATGGGCATACGGCACACAAATGTTACTCAACAGTTACCTTAAATATAGTGAAGCTGGCTGGGCGCGGTGGCTCACACCTGTAATCCCAGCACTTTGGGAGGCCAAGGTGGGCGGATCACCTGAGGTCTGGAGTTCGAGATCAGCCTGACCAACACGGAGAAACCCCATTTCTACTAAAAATACAAAATTAGCCAGGCATGGTGTTGCATCCCAGCTACTCAGGAGGCTGAGGCAGGAGAATTGTTTGAACCCAGGAGATGGAGGTTGCGATGATCTGAGATCATGCTATTGCACTCTAACCTGGGCAACAAGAGCGAAACTCCATCTGAAACACACACACACACACACACACACACACACACACACACACACACACACACACACAGAGTCAAGCTGTTAAGCTTTCTGTAAGTAAAGGAGACATCCTTCAGCAAGATCTAGCAACGGTGACTATTATAAATATATAGTTGGCAAAAAGAGATGTAGAATCTCAAAGAAACTGAAGACCAACAGATATCTTCAGAATCTGGATTGATTCCACGGCAGTTAAGGGACAGTGCATTATCCTTGTCATTTGAGTGCTGTGGTATTATTAACATGGCTCTGATACTCTTGATCTCTGCTCCTCTTAGTGTCCTTTTGCTTCTCTTTCTGCTACCAGCTGACTTCCTTATGGTTTATTCCATACCATTTCCCTTCCTCAAAGCTTCTGCTATAACTACCATTTATGATTTTTCATACCTTTATCTTGCTCATAAGTTTGGTTTGCTCCAGGCTACTCCTGCCCCTTCCCTTCTTCTAGGTTATCTTTTAAACTTCAACTCCCACTATTAGTTGCCCCATTTCAAATTCCTGAGAGTATGATTTTGTTGAATCCGGCTCTAGTGGGTTAAATAATCTCTACCTCCAATATTCATGTTCACTTGGAACCTCAGAATGTGACCTTATTTGAAATAATGTGGGGATTTTTTGTTTTGTTTTGTTTGTTTGTTTTGAGACAGTCTCACTCTGTCACCTAGGCTGGAATGCAGTGGCATGATCATGGCTCACTGCAGCCTCGACCTCCTGAGCTCAGGCAATCCTCCCACCTCAGCCTCCCAAGTAGCTGGGACTATAGGCACATGCCATGACACCTGGCTTATTTTTGTATTTTTTTATAGAGATGGAATCTCACTATGTTGCCCAGGCTGGTCTTGAACTCCTGGGCTCAAGCAATCCTCCTGCTTCGGCCTCCCAGTGTGCTAGGATTATAGGTGTGAGCCACTGCACCCAGCCTAAAACCCAATCTTTATTGCATCTCTTTCTGCTAACCAACTGGCTTCCTTACAATAAATAATTTAATTTATTAAAATAAATATTTATTGATTGACATACATTATTTTCTTCTTTAGTAATGATTATTACTGATTAGCAGATAGTAATTTGAGCCTGAAAATTAGTGGGTTGTATCAGAACAGGCAGTAGGATAAGTTTGGCCCATGGGCTATAGTTTGCCAACTCCTGCTATAGAAGAAAGTTGCTGTTGCTTGTTCACCAAAAATCAATCTTATTTTCCTAATAGGACCCTAATTTCCTTCTGGGAACCTTTCCCCTAGCCCTACCTGTCATTGAAAATGATCAGTGTGCACACTTCCAGTAATGCCACAGAAGCATGAGGCCCTGGCTACAGTGACCGGTTCCATCTGAGTGAATATTACAGTTGCATGGGATCTACTTTTTCTGTTTTGAGACAGGGTCTTTCTGTGTCGCCCAGGCTGGAGTGCAGTGACGAGATCATGGCTCATGTAGCCTCGACCTCCAAGCCTCAAGCAATCTTCCCACCTCAGCCTCCTGAGTAGCTGGGACCACAGACACATGCCACCATACCTGGCTAATTTTTAAAATTTTGGGTAGAGACAAGGTCTCTCTAGGTTGCCCAGGCTGGTCTCAAATTCCTGGGCTCAAGTGATCCAACTGCCTCGCCCTCGCAAAGTGCTGAGATGACAGGCTGAGCCACCACACACTCTGCCTTGTTTTTCTTTTTCCACAGGAACCTGTGGTGATAAGGAAGATGTGAGCCTGGAGATACAGAAGCTACCACTGAAGCTGACACAGCAAAAGGCAGTGCCAAGGAACTAAAAGAAAACAAATTTTGATTACATTTTTGGAGTTCATGGGTCAAGCAGTTCATGACACTGAAGCTTTTCTGCTACATGAATAAATAACTTTTTCTTTGCTGTTAAAGTGGGTTTGTGCTGGCTTCTCTATCACTCACAACAACTGGATACTAACTGAGGCAATACTTCCTACCTCTTACACACATTATACCCATAAAACAGAAACAACATCTAAAATTAGATTTCAACACAACTACCAAAGCAGAAAAGTTCAAACCAACAAGTTATGGATACTGTGTTACTGAAACTACATTTCTCCTTCCAATGTGAGTATGGTGTTGGTGAACATGTTGCGTGTTGATTCTGCTAGTCTTTGTGTCCTGCACATAGGGTGTGGACTGTGTAATGAATCGTTTCTTCATTATTTTTCTCAGCTTGCATGGTTGCATCACCTCCATTCACAGAGCTCACTGTGACAGCATTTAACCTTGTCTTGGTACAAGTGTGTAATTTACATAATAGTCACCTCTGTACTTTCCTCAGTAACTTAAACAAAGGAGGCCATCACTCACCGTGCTTGCCTTTCAAATTAGATTTGATATCAAATTAAAGTCTCATTTTATTAAATTTCTGAAGCCAAAGTCTTTGACCTATGAAAGTATGTTTCAATTATGAATGGAAAAGAGAAGCTTTGTGTTATTAACAGGAAAAGAATTCAAGTGTGACGGTTGTGTCAATGCCATTGGGACATGCCAGTGCTCAGTAACTCAACAGACAAGCCTACTAGACCTGCTTTACTCATTCGTGGCCCTGTTTCTTCACTTTCTACTGACTCCCACCTGTGTTTCATAATTCTCTACATTGATGTGGTTTATTACTTCTAATCGGGACCTTAAACTAATTGTGAAACTTGTTAGAGTCTCTTGGTGTAAAATTGTCTTCATACAATTAGAATGTTATAATCTGGACCTACCAATGTGAACAAGTGAACAAATGTGCTGTTTATTTTAACCAGCAGTGCTGTTTTAGTTAGCTATTTATCTCCCAAATCTCAGAAACACTCAGTAGCTTACAACATGAAGCTGTTTTTTTTTTTTTTTTTTTTTTTTTGCTTATAGGTCTGTGGGTCAGATGGGGTAGCTCTGCTTCAGGTTGTAGGTCATCTCGGCTTGGCAGACTTTAAGTTAAACATAAGACTGTGTGTCTCATTTTGGGGCCCACACTGAAGGGAGAGCAGCTAGCTGGTGCATGCTGTCTTCATGGCAATCACAGGGGTGCGAGAGGCGGAGCTGAAGGACACAAGCACATTTAAGTCTTTTGTGTGTGTCATGTTCAGTGACATTCCATGTCCAGAGCCAGCTACATGGGTGGATCATGAATAGAGGGGAGAAATGCACCCCACCCACTTCAGTGAGCTTTAGGTTTACATGGCTGAGGGATGGAGGGAAGAATTTTGGACAATAATCTCATCTAGTACATATGGCTTCAATTTGTATGAACCCTGTCTCTACTCCTCCAACCCTCTGATCTCAATTGCTATTGCTAATATGCCCTGTGGGAGTGAGAGGGTTTTCTATAAGAAAGAGAATGACTTCCAGATAGCTTATTGGCCATCAATCTAGGAGCTGTTACAGCTGAGAAACATTTTGACCCAACCCTCTGGCTTCTTTGTTGATTTATTTTTCTGATACAATTCATGTTTTTAAATATTAAGCTTTAATGAAGTTAATGTGTTTTAATGCAGTAAAAAATAAAGCATATATGATTCTATCATTTGTGAATATACAATATAACTAGTAAGAAATAAGGGGTCTCATTCACACCCAGATTTATAGGACCCAGCACTATGTGCTGGGTATATAATAGAAGCTCAGTATTTGTTGATTGAAGTGCTTTTTCTTATTTACTATTGATTATTATTGATTAACATATAATAATTTGGGCCTGAAATAGACATTTCCCTTTTTAATATAATTATATATATGTGCATATCATATCATTAATATCCTCTGACTTTATTAGTGTCTGTTAACCATGTCGGAAAAAGTAAAGGTGTTTATAATGCATGCACAGAAAAATGATACGTTTGTGTTCGCTGTTTTTAGGACCAAGAAATAATTATTGGTTGCTGTTTTCTCAGTTTTGGTGCTTTTAAAAATAAATTTTACTGTGCATATTTGAGTTTTACAACATCAACATCATGTTATGAGATACATATAGATAGTAACATGATTACTATATTCTCAGTTTTGTTTTAAAAGAATACTTGTTTCTATATCCTTTTGATGTGGTAAGAGACCTCAGGAGAATATCTAAATGGATAGTTAGAAATATGTGTCAATATAAGCAAAATCAAATTTTCAAGATTGTAAGTATCAGCCAATGAAAATGCCAGTTAAAATTACTTTTAAATAGTATTTAAAATTAAAATTATGTATGATGCAGATATAAAAGATACAAATTTTTTATATAAATTACAAAATTGTTTTCTTCATGAAAGGAAAAAACTAATTCCTAGAGCTGATTTTATGAAAACTGAACGCATCATAAAACAAAAATAACTTAATTGAAAGATAGTTTGCTTTGTGTCACAGGTCATCTGTTTAGAAGAGCAATACTAAAGTAACTAAATGCCTTTTTGGGCTTCCTTCAATGATCCTGAAGTTTCAGGCTATTTCCTTTGCTTTCTTCTAGGAAACATTTATTATGGCTGAAATATGCATTAATGTTTCAAGTTATAATCATCTTGCCAGATATACTTATGGCATAAAGACAGGAAGGAAACTAATACTCATGAAGTGTCTATTATATATCTTTGGTAAGGTGTTAAAAGCAATGCTGTGTTGAGAAGAGAAATATTCCCATTTCAGAAGAGAGAAAACTAGGCTTAGAAAGTTGAAATGACAGAGTTTTTTACTCCAAAATCATGTTCTTTGGCATGAGCCAAAACCTGAGAAAACTGTCTATGGAACAGTGTAGTAAACTGGTGTGAACTCCCCTTGCAAGTTCAATAATTGCAGTGTAGTTAACATCAAGTTTTATTTAGAGATAAACAAATGACTTTATGCATATGTTTTGCAACAGACAAATCACAATAGTCCAAAGTCCTACAGTGGATATTCCCCAATGCCACAGAAGAGGCCCCGAGGAACAGTTCAAATGTGCACCTACCCGCTAAATGCTCCCCAGGCATGGGCGGTCCTTCCTGGCTGGAATTTCTCTTGTGGTTATTCCTGCAGTGTCTGCAGCACTGACCTTATTCCTGTCCTCAAAATCCACTTCCTCTTCTAGTGAATCTTGTTTTTCTCATGCTTCCAGACCCACTTTCCTAGTCTAGTGACACCTCTAGACATTTTTCTGTGACATTTCTTGATTTGTAAGAATGCTTCCAAACTCCTACACCAAAATACTTTTCCCTTATTTTGTCAATGACAAACATTTAGCAAGTATTTGTTGCCTTCACAGTCTACTTCTAATCCGTGCATCCTGTCCTTAAAGAGTTTATAATCAACCTAAGGAGAAAAGCTATTCCCATAAAAATAATGAGAGCTAAAGATAATAAGTTGTGTTACAAAACTTCATAGGAGGGGCCAGGTGCGATGGCTCATGTCTGTAATCCCAGCAGTTTGGGAGGCGGAGGCAGGTGGATAACCTGAGGTCAGAGCAGCCTGGCCAACATAGTGAAACCCCGTCTTTACTAAAAACACAAAAATTAGCCAGGCATGGTAGCAGGTGCCAGTAATCCCAGCTACTCGGAAGGCTGAGACGGGAGAATCACTTGAACCTGGGAGGTGGAGGTTGCAATAAGTCAAGATCGTGCCACTGCACTCTAGCCTGGGCAACAAAGCGAGACTCTGTCTCAAAAAGAGACTTCATAGGAGGGAAGGATGAACATGTACTGAGAAAGCTAAAAGTAGATGGAGCCTTGAAAGCATATGTTGACCACAGCACCCTCCCTACCACCCTGTCCCCATAATCTAACATCTTGCGCTGGTCAGCATTGAAGGACACGTCAAAGATGTCAGGAACACAGAAACACAATGAGGCCATCATTCTGGAGGAACAAAGGCATCAACACACTCTTTCTCTTGTGTTGAGTCATCTTCCCTCTCATAAAGTTCCCTGCAGAGCTTTAAGAGGGTTTGTTTTCTCTTTGGACTGTGACTTTACTCTCAAAGCCCTGAGCTTATGAGAAAAGATGCCCTGACTTTGCTCTGAGCCTAAAGGGAAGACATACTTGTGGTTTCTACCTTGTCTAGCCCAGTTCACAGAGTAGATGAATATCTGGCAGAAACTTTGGTCCTAGGAATAATACATGTGCATTTCCCTGGAAAGGGCTCTGCGTCATATCTCTTTAGAGACTTTTATGCTATGCCAAGACAGTATAGCAATGGTAAATGACTAAGGGCTTGGGGTTTGAAGTCAACAGACCTGTTACGTGTCTCCGAGATGGTTGCAGTCAGTATAGCTGTGAGAGCTGAGAAAGCCCCAGAGGCCTTCAACAGAGCTAACAGCAGAATTTGGAAAAATACCAGATTATTGTTCTACTGCCCTAGAATAAGTTAGCAGACCTTGGTGCTCAGGATACCTGGGGTCTGAGACTTTCTTTGTTGCTATGTGGTTCACACATGTTCATGTGAACAATCACCTGGTGAGGTAGTAGCTTTATTTTTACAAACTAGATGAGTTAATTTGCCCACATTTATGAAACTATGACAGACTGATTGATTAAATACTTTTGGGGATGTGAATGTAAGTTCATGGTTGCACTAGTTTTTATTTAATGCAATTAAAGAATTAACAACTTGAAAGTCAAATGAATAGTTCATTTTCTCCACTGTTCTAATTTACTAATCCAAGTAAACTTTAAAGTGTATGGAGATGTTGCTGAATAAATGTGTTGCCCCTCCCAAGTCATATATTTGCATTTATAACTGGCACTATGATGTGTCTTAATCCAGTTATTACTTTTTAAAAGAAAATCAGTATAAACTTGCTGCAGTGAAATCTTACTCCAAAGTCCCTTAAATATAACTGCATGGTGGCTCTAACTCAAATGTGGTGGTGGTGGTGGTGGGGTATTATTTGGGAGGGGGTGATCTTATGAGGTCTTTTTTCCCTCCGTATCTGTGGGTTTCTTTCCCCTGAGTTAGCCCCTGGGTGACCCCACCCTGTGCCCTAAATTATACAATTATACACATGATGACCAACTACTGACTTAATCCCAGGGGCATGAGAACATTGATCTGGCAGGTGTACAGAGGCCTTAAAGTACCCATGGATGGATATTGGGCCCTTTCAAGGCAGGTAAACCTTGCCTGTAGTTCAACAGTCTCTTCTATTTTGAGGAAATCAGTCTAATAAAGATAGTAGCAACTTTTCTCCAGTTTATAATACCATTAAGTAATTTTAATTACAAAAATTAGAAATAATCTAGAACTGTCTCCAAAATATACGTCGTAAATTCAGGAGGAAATTCAGGAGTTGTAAATTCAGGAGTGGGGCAGGGAGTGGTAGAGCTTGGAAAATCCCCATATTTGGTTCCAAGAGATGCACATATTTATTTACTTCATCTACCCTACTCCCAGTATGAAAAACATTGTGTAATTGTAAGGCCAAGCACGGTGGCTCACACCTGTAA